CCTTGTGACCTAATTGGAAAATGTGCGACTCATTCTTTCAGTCCTTTCCACCTGCCATCGGTACGGAGAATGCTCCCTTCTCAGCAGCAGGGACAAGCTGACACGCACGCTGCACCTTGCAAATCTCAATGTTATAAATGGCATTTTCTTTTGAAAGCTCAAATGCTTTTTGTTTGTCTAGTGTTTCAGCTGGGAAATTAAGAAAACGAGCACGTAACTGCTTCTCAACAACTTTTTAATAATCTTTTTGTCTTCTTTTTCTCTTGGTGACTCTTTTTTTTTTTAACGATATTTTATCTAAAGCAGGAGCCGGCATTTATCTCCACATGCCGTTGGGCCCGCTGAGCTAATTCACTGAATGAGAATGAGCAGAGGTCCATCAGCCAGGAAAGAAACAAAGTTCGTCACAAAGCAGAGAGTTTGCATGCTCTAAAGAACGGCCGCCCAGGATGAAACGGCGAACGCAGCGAGGATTCGAACATTCACAGACAGCAGGGGCTTTTGCACATGATCTATTTTCCCTTCAACCTCACCAAAAGGTAGGTGGTCTGATCCCTAATCTACAGGTGGGAAACCCAGAAATAGACTGCCTGTGCTGGAGTGGGGCCTGGGGGCCTACCCTCAGCCGCCTGCACCGGCCTGGATGTGACCACCATGACGACCAGTCACACCCGGCACTGAGCCAATTCCCTTGGACAAATATCTGAGCCATTTGAGCCCAGAGACACAGCTGATCTTGCTTCTTGGGTAAGAGACATAATAGTCACTGAGTGTCTACAGTGTTGGACCAGGTACCTCGGTGAAGATTTCCATCTCCTCTGCTCTGCAGAGGAAGGAAACAGAGGCGCAGAGATCAAGAACTGGGTCACCCGGCTGTAAGTGGGTGAGAAGGGTTCCGAGCCCACTGGCAGGGCCATCCCTAGGGACACACTGACCTGAGTTGGAATCCCAGCTCTGCCGCTTAATCACTGTGCACCCTTGGACAAGTAACTTAGCAGGTCTAGGCCTCCGTTTCCTTATGGTTGAAGATGATGATGATATCAGCACATCCCTCTCAGCCTTGAGTGAGGAATAAGAAAGCGCACAGAATGCCCAAGAATGCCTGCTGCGTGCTAAGTGCTCGGTAAACAATAATGATGAAGTCTGCTGGAGTTTTCTGATGTAAGAGAAAACTTTTGGTTTTCAAAATTCTTAGTCGTGAAGGATAGTTTTATTCCACTGAAATCTGGAGGAAATTATACTATGTAAATGCAGAGCTGCTATAGTGGAGGTAGGATGGGGCCCTGGAGCACAGTCTCCCCACTTCCCCTGCAGCCCTTACAGGGCTCAGTGGATCCCTCCACCTCCACCTCTGCCAAGCCCAGGTGAACATGGCTGCCCCATCGCCAGCTACCCCAGAGAAAGTACCATAATTATAGGCACACTGTGCACTGGTGCTCCTGACCCCAAACACCCACCTCCACCCAACACAGACAGGTACATGTGGACAGGGCTGAACACGAAGCAGCCATCAAATGCCTGCAAGTCTCTGGAATGCATGTCATTCTGGAAATGAATGAGAAATGGGCAGCAGGCTTCCTAGTGCCCCAACACCCCACTGCCACCCCTATGGTTCTGTAAGCTGTCAGGTTTGCAGCTGCAGTCTTCTCCCAGAGACCCCACACACCACTCCAGGGACAATCACACCACACCGGCCTAAAGCCAAGGTCCCAGGTCAGTCCCCAGGTCCTGTACTAAAAGCTACCATATGACACACCAAGTCACTCTACTGAGAACATTTGACAAGTTTCTCTTTCTCATACAAAACATTCATGCACTGAAAACAGCACATGTAAATTACAAGTGGCTCCCAAGTAGCAAGAAGGCTATTCCCTCCATTTTCTTGCAGTGTTTATATTCATAAAACAAGGTCCAACATCAATTCTGGCTGTGCTCATTTGGCCTTGATTGGCATCTGAGTGGGTTGAGCTGAAGTCCATTTCTGCATTGTCTACCAAGAAAGGGCTTGCCAACTGAATTAACCCAGGCACAATCCATCAACAAGTATCAGAAGAAAGAAGGCCCTGTACAACCGTGATTTCCAGAGAGCTCAGGGAAAGAGAGCTTTAGTCATCTGCCTAGTGTGAGTGACCCCTTCACCATCTTCAATTTAAGAGTTATCATTTATATTATATATAGTTAATCCTTGCCTGAGAATATTTTTTCCATTTCCAATGATTTTTAGAGAAATTGGAAGGGAGGGAAGAGAGTGAGAGTGAGAGTGAGAGTGAGAGTGAGAGTGAGAGTGTGAGACAGGAACATCGATATGAGAGAGACACTTTGATTGGTTGCCTCCTGCATGAGCCTTGACCAGGGTGGGGATCGAACCTGCAACTCAAGTACATGCCCTTGACTAGGAACCAACTGGAAAATCAACCTGAGACCCTTCAGCGTGCAGGCCGATGCTCTAACCACTGAGCAAGCAACCCCAGCCAGGGCTATATATTTTTAAAAGGTTTGCCTGGTAAGCCGGCAGTGGGGACAGGAACTCTGGTATAGAGCAATTCCTCAGCCCACTTTAGGGCTGGGGCATGGGTACACAAGGGACTAGGACTGGGATGGAGTGGAGGGCAGGACAGTTGTGGCTGCATTCTGTCTGAGGTGGGGGTGGGAGCTTCAACAATGACAGTTAAAGATGTCACACCACTGTGGTAAGGGCTGTGGTGTCGAAGTACAGGGGCTTATAACCACGGAGGTAATAATGAGGTCAGGGGGCCTATCAATCTGGGATGTCAGCAAAGACTTCCCTGAGAAAGTGAGTTTTACGCTGAGAACTAAAGGATGTGTAGGGCTGAACTATGGAAAGAACATTCCAGGCATGGGCATGTGTGCAGGTCCCAAGGTGAAGGTTAGGATGTGCAGGAGGAACTATGGGAGCAGGTGTACCCAAAGATGAGTGGCAGGGGATGAGGTGTATGGGGGCGAGGTGGGATGGGGGATATGCAGGACTTTGGGGCAATGCAGAGGAGGAGCCCTTTACCCTAAGGGCACAGGAGCAGGGCACTGCCAAAACCTGGTTTCCACTCCTGAGTGACTCCTCCTACTTCTCAGGAGATGGGACTGGGGAGGGCAGTGGCAGGCACAGGAAATCCAGGCAGATGCTATGCTTGTCTTCCCCCTCATCTCAAGTCCTTCCAACTCCATAACCCTCCAAACGGATGGCATACCCACAATGGATGTGGAGTCTGGAGACTTCAGCCAAGGAATGTGCTCTTTCTTCCTAACATGCAGATTCCTGTTTTTATACAGCTGGTATTCTGGTTAACAGAATGTTCTAATTTTCAAGATCACACCATATTTTCTGCACTTAGTTACAGCTCAGATAATACAACAAATTACACCAACTAAACTAAAACCAAAATTAAGTTCAATATATCTCTATCACCATACTGGACAACAGTGTTAAAAAGATCTTAATTTCTGCTGGTTTATGGGCAGATCTGAAATGGCTGACCTACCTCTCTGTCTGCCTTCAGGTAAATGCTTTGATTGAGATGCCAGCTCAGCTCTGGGGCTGCAAGAACTGAGGACCAAAGCATAGGCTAGGGTTAGAAGAAGGATGGAGAGGTCAGGAAGCAGAGAGGGGGGCCTGGGAGAGGGTAAAGGATCTAGTCTGCCCTTGGAGTTAGAGACAATAACACATAGTCCCCAAAACCTGGCACTCAGGAAGTGTTTGCTAAACACTGAGTAAAAATATCTTCTCCCGTGACGCAGTGCGACAGAGCCACCACGCTGCCATCCACAAGAGCATCCCCCAACAGCTCATGCGCCTGGTATTCTTCATAATCATGCTTCCTCCAATTTATAGTATTGTCAGAATAAAAGTGATGGATCCAGTTTAGAACACAGCCTTCATCCTGTCAGAATTCTGAGCACAGAGATTCTGACTGCAGCAGGGAAATATACACAAAAGATTGGCCAAGCACAGGCTGACAGACAGACAGAGCAATGTTTCAGAGCTGAAGATTGATGAGATCAATTTTGAAGCTTTTCTGCCGTTGTCTTCTGGGTTATAGATGTCCGTGATTTTTCTGCCTCTAGGCCTCATGTTTCAAACTGCATCTTTCCACAGTTATCACAGGCATCATTTTATACAACCCACAAAAAATGAGTCACTTCATGATAAAGTAACATTTTAGAATCTGTGGTCTGCTACAGGTCTTATTTAATTCAATTGTTTGGTTAGAGAATAAAAAACTTTAAAATACAGTTCTACTCAAAATTAATAAGTGCTTGAAAAACCAGTAATCCAATTTCATATTTTAGCTATTAAATGTACCAAGAAGCACTAAATTGATCAATAAGAATTAAATTGATTAGCTTGTCAATTTCATATCACTATAAAATTTATCAATAAGCATGTGACTTATTGTGACAAATTGGACCTCTAGAGAGAATACCAAAAGGTAGGGGCCAGGTCCAGTTCTCATGACGGACTCGCCAGTGCCCAACCCAGCACCTGGCACATAAACATTTGCTGGATAAAAGGGCGGCCACAAGGACAGTGGCAAAATAGAAAAGGAATGAGCATTTTCTAATTGCCCCCAAAATAAATTTCCACTTGAATTAACCAAAAGCCTGTTCTGAAGGTTTAAATCGGGGTGGGGAACGTCTGGCCCATGGGCTATAAACAGCCTGCGAAATCAGTTGGTCTGGCCTTGCCAAGGCAACAGGCAGGACTCGAAATTCAATAAATCTAGGAGCTTTTTTCATAGCTCATTTTTAAATTGATAATTTTGTATCGCCCACAAATGATGTTATAGTATCCAAGTGGCCCTTGGTAGAAAAAAGGTTCCCCACCCCTGGTTTAAATAGTTCATCTGCTGATTCTGATATGCTTCAGAGTTTTCGCTCAAGTGGTCTTTTAAAGCTTCCTTCATCTCGTGTCCTGTTACAATGGGAATAGCCATAAGAACAATCAGGCAGATGCAAATGTCACCATCCATACACCTCACCTGCCATGTCGATGGCAAAAGGCCTGTCTGCTCTCCAGCCGGTGTACCAACCAACGACTTTGCCATTTTCCACCAACGGACGTTCATAACGTCGCCCACCAACCAGGCCTACTGGCCAGACAGAGACCTTGCGTGTGGTTCGCATCTATAAAAAGGGGAAAGAGATTTGGTTTAAATTTCCTTAGGGAAAATAATTTGAAAGGAGGGAAAGAATGTGAGCCATGTAGAAAAAATGGGAAGGGGTGGGGGGGTGTCAATTTCCAAAAGTTGAACGTTTCCAAACAGAACCCTTCTGCTGATAGACTGTTAACCAATTACTGTCTGTCTGCTCAGCACCATCAGCTGTGTACTGCGTCATAAACTAAGCCTCCGGCTCAGGAAGGATTAGGAGAACTACAGTGGGTGCCATTATCTGAACTTCACTTATTGGAAGCTACGATGTGACTGTCAAATATTTCCTATTTGTCCCAAAGTTGAATCTTCTAAACAATTGTATCTTCAGAAGTGAGAAGGCTTAGCTCCTCTTTAGGAAGCTTTATTACTCAGAAACAGCAAAATCTTACTCAGAGGAGCCATAGGAGTTGCCTTTCTCTGAATTTTTTATTGTTATAGACACACAGAAATCTTGGCTGGCGACATTAATAATGGGATCCAGATACAGAAGAGACACCAGGCGTCCTCCTAGGTGACAAAAAGAAAAACATACCTTAAATTTGCTTGTCTTTCAATGGCAATTGGGCCAAATTACAAAAGACAACACCTTACCTAGGCAGCTAAAGCAGCTGCCAGCACATCCTGTTGTACCTGGCAGAGTTCTGGTTAAAGGCAACCCTCAACTGAAAGTTATCTGCTGGATCTCTTTGAGAGGAAAGACATGTTCACAAGAAAGCCCAACGATACTAGATAGCATTTTTAGAAAAACCACCACCTTCTTCCTGAACACGTGTTGAGCAGGGCTATAGGCAGCCCACATGGCAGCTTTGGCAAACTAGAAAAGGTGTCCCCTTTTCAGGCAGACACACTCCACACTAAGGCCCATGGCTGTGGGCCCAGCCATCAAAGTATCAGCTGCATTCCAGCTCCACGTACCCTCTTAGCTGGGTGAGGTTGTAGTGTTAAGATAATTATAATCTTAACACCAATGCCTTATCTTTCATCTGCTATAGAACTGGGTCATGATCAGTAACCAATGGTTAAAATAATGATTATCAATCAAGGATTTTTTTTTTTTTTTAAATGAAAAGGACAATTATATATTTGGGAATGGTTTTTCAAATGCAATTCAAATGAAAAGTCAAATTATTAAATATTAAAAATAATTAGATGCTCCCATTTGCCAAGCATGTCAATTTTACTTATTTATTAATATCCCACTGCATTCCAACAAAAGGACATAAGGGCATGAAGCTCTCCAAGTAATGAAGATCTATGTTGGTTTTCCCCAAATCTGAAATTACTATTTTTCAAGTCTATTCCTTTTTAATAACTTAATCACTGTTGCCTTGTGCTAGCTCATACTGACATATATGATGATCTTTTAAAAAATTATACTGAGGTATAATAATGGAAACACCAACTGAAATGAAAAATAAACTGCAGGGAGTCAACAGTAGAGTAGATGAAGCCAAGAATCAAATCAGTGATTTGGAATATAATGCAGCAAAAACACCTAATCAAACAGCAAAAAGAAAAAAGAATCCCCCAAAATGAAGATATGTAAGGAGCCTCTAGGACAACTTCAAGTGTACCAACATTCACTTCATGGAGGTACCAGAAGGAAAAGAGAGGGAATAAGAAATTAAAATCCTATTTGAAAAAGTGACAGAAAACTTCCCTAACCTGGTGAAGGAAATAGACCCACAAGTCCAGGAAGCACAGAGAGTCCCAAACAAGATGAACCCAAAGAGGCCCACATCAAGATACATCATAATTAAAATGCAAAATGTTAAAGACAAAGATAGAATCTTAAAAGCAGCAAAAGAAAAGCAGTTGGTTACCTACAAGGGAACTCCCATAAGACTGTCAGCTGATTTCTCAACAGAAACTGTGCAGGCCAGAAGGGAGTGGCAAGACATATTCAAAGTGATGAAAAGCAAGGATCTACAACCAAGATTACTTTGTCCAGCAAAGCTATCATTTAGAATCAAAGATCAGATAAAGAGCTTCCCAGACAAAAAAAACTAAGAGTTCATCACCACCAAAGCAGTATAACATAGAATATTAAAGGGTCTTAAGAAGAAAAAAAAAGGATAAAAAATATGAATAAAATGTCAATAAATACATCTCTCTCAACAATTAAATCTAAAAAAAAAAAAACCCCAAAAACCAAAATAAGCAAACAAGCAGAACAGAAACAGACTCACAGCTACAGAGAACATTCTGGTGGTTGCCAGAGGGGAGGGCGGTTGGGGGATGGGTGAAAAAGGTGAAGAGTTTAAGAAGTACAAATTGGTTGTTACAGAATTGTCACGGGGATGCAAATTACAGCATAGGGAATACAGTCAATAATATTCTATTAACTATATATGATGTCAGATGGGTGCGAGACTTATTGGGATGATCACTTAGTAAATTATCTAATCTCTAATCACTGGAGTATACACCTGAAACTGATGTAATGTTGTATATCAACTATAACTGAAAAGTAAAAAATTATTTAAATAAAGAAAAACAAAAAAATTAAAATTTCTACTGAGGTATAATTGACTGCAGAAAAGAATGGATAGTCCTGACACTGTCATCTTTAGAAGGGCCTGCATGCAAGGCTGACCGTTGGCTGGCATCTGAAAACCTGGCTGTTGAAGTAATCCATACACTGATGAGGTTTTTTTGCCTGCCTGGGGTACTAAACTCCTGCTTTCCTTCAGGAATCCAAAATATTGGTGACCAGACTCCAATAAAAACCTTGACCCTTAAATGGGCTTCCCTGAACATAAACGCTGTACACCCGAGGTTCCATCTTTGCTGGAGGGAAGGCGTGCTCCCTGCGAGCCTTGAGAGGGAGAGAACACCGGAAGCCTGCAAGTGGAGTCCTCCCGACCCTTCCTGATGTCTTTTTCCCTCACAGAGCCAGCTCTGTATCCTTACTGTGTCACTGTAATAAATCTTAACCACAAGTCCTCAACATAATTTTGCTCAATTTGAGTTGGTTATAACTTTGATGAGGTTCTGTGGGAACTTAACTCTTGTTTATATCAACTAGCCTATAGTAAAAGTGTTCTTTTTATACATCATTTTGCTTAGTCACAGAACCTATTAACAATGTTAAATGAGGACTTACTGTACAACTAACTATATGCTGAGTGGCATGAGTCCTAGTGAACCATTTAACGTGGGTGGTCTTGGGGAACTCCTGAAAGAATAAAATGCACTTTTTAAAGTGTAAAATTTGATACACTGGGACATATGTATATAGCCATGAAATCATCATCACGAGGAAGACAATAAACATCTCCATCACCTCCCAGTTTGTTTGTGCTCTTTTTTAAATCCATCCCTCCCAAACCCCTCTACATCCCCTATCCCTAGGCAACCACTGAACTCCTTCCTATCATTATACATTAGTTTGCATTTCATAGAATTTTATATGAATGGAATCATAGAGTGTATACTCTTTTTTTATTTTTTAAGATTTGGCTTCTTTCACTCAACATAACTACATGGTTATTCACCCATGCTGTAATTCATTCCTTTATATTGCAGAACAGTATTCTATTGTATAGATGTGCCCCAGTTTTTGTTTGTTTTTGATTTTTTAAAATCCATTCGCCTGTGGATGGATGCTTCAGTTGTTTCAGATTTTTGACTATTACAGGTAAAGCTGCTATAGTATTGTGTACAAGCCTATGTGGACTTTTTTTCTTCTGATAAATACCTAGGAGTTGAATGGCTGGGTCATATGGTAGGTATACATTTAACTTTTTAAGAAACTGCCAACTTATTTTCCAAAGTGGTTGTGCCATTTTACATTCCCACCGGCACTATATGAGAGTTCCAGTTACTCCACATCCTCATCAACACTTGTTATAGTCAGCATTTAATTTTAGTCATTCTAATAGGTATTAGCAGTATCTCACGGTGGTTTTAATTTGCATTTTTCTAATGACTAATGATGTTGAGTATCTTTTCATATACTTATGTATCTGCCACCTGTATCACTTCTTTAATAAAATATTTGTTCAAATCGTTCACCTATTTTCAAAATATTTCCTTTCTATTGAGTTTTGAGAGTTTTTAAAATATATTCTGCATACCTGCATAAAAATTCTCTCTCAGATATAAGTATTTTCTCCCAATGTGTGGCTCATCTTTTCATTCTCATAACAGTGTCTTTTGAAGATCAGAACTTTAAAGGTTGATGAAGTCCAGTTCATCAACTTGTTCTTTCATGGATCATACTTTTGGTGTGATAGCTAAGATACCTTTGCCTAACTCAAGTCACAGGGGTTTTCTACTCCTTTCTAGAAGTATTATAGTCTTAGTTTTACATTTAGATTATGATCTATTTTTGAGCTAATCTGTATATATGGTATGAGGGAACGACTGAAGTTCTTTTTGCATATAGAGATCCAATTGTCCCAACTTTATCTGCCTCTGAATAAATAAGCTCCCTCTGCCTCTTTGTCAAAAACTAGTTGTCATATGTGTGAGTTTATTTCTGGAATTCTCCTCTGATTCACTGGTCTATTTGGTAATTTTGATGCTAATATCACACTATCTGGATTACTATGGCTTTATAATAACTCTTGAAATCAGGTAGTGTTAGTCTTCCAACTCTGTTCTTTATCAAAGTTGTTTTGGCAGTTCTAACCCCTTTTCATTTCCAGATGAGTTTCATAGTATGTCCACTTCAGCACATCATTTTGGTGAGAACTGACATCTTAGCAAATACTGAGTCTTTTAATCCATGGACATGATATATCTCTCCATTTATTGAGATCTTTAATTTTTCTCAGCAATATTTTAGTGATTTAATTCTTGAATCAATAACAACACCCACTGCTTTTGTGTCCTAGCTTTTCTCCATAGGTGGGGAAAAAATCTAGAAAATTTACTAAAATTTTCATAAAAATACAGCTCTCCCCTAACTCATTCCACCTTCAGGCCCCTATTTGCTCCCACACTGCAGAATATAAAATGATTTCA